CCTTGTAGATCATCTAGTCCAGTGTTTCTCAACCTTGGCAACTTGAAGATGTCCGGACTTCAACTCCCAGAATTCCCCAGCCAGCATTTGCTGGCTGGGGAATTCTGAGAGTTGAAGTCCAGACATCTTCAAGTTGCTAAGGTTGGGAAACACTGATTTAATGAATACAGATTGTGCTCGACTTACGAGTAATTGAGCAAAGAATACGGGTCGTAAATTGTAACAGTCATTAGGTGGGTCATCATGTAATTGTGCATGATTTTACGACCTTTTTTGCATGGTCTTTAAGTGAATGGATGTTATTTTGCTGGAAACTGAAATTAAACACAGGTTAACAGCAAAAAAATGTAAATTCTGGTCATGATGGGGGTACTGCAAATAGCTGTAAATGCAGGCCAATTGCCATGCACCCAAAATGACCTTGGGGTGGGGCAGTCAGAACTTTGAATCGGATTGTAAATACCTTTGGAAGTGGGGCTTGTAACTTTTGTTGTAAATCGAGGGCTACTTGTAATGTGCCAGGGCCATTTGGATTAGGTGGTGTATACATTTCATCTAAGTCTTTAGTATACATGTTACAATATGATGATGCCAGCATCGTATGAATTCAAAGTACAAAGAATATTTCATCGCCTTTTGTTGAACACATCTCTTAAATATCTGAATCTGCAATGTTATTTCTTCACATCTAGACAAATATTCCACACCTATGAGTGGAACAATTTAAATAAGGATTAAATAGTGGATTAACTAAAGGCAATCGGCAACTTGATGGCACATAATCAAAAAGCCAGTAATTATTGAAGTACAAGTAGCCCTCACTTGATGCCAAGTGATCCGGTTAAGTGAAATGTCTCATGACTGCTCAACTTGGGGAGGGCAGTCCTGAGAATCTTTGTATGAATCCACATGGTCGTTAAGCGAGTACTCACCTGGCTTCTTAGAAGGTAAGGGACTGCCTCCAATTCTTCCCAGCAACCTCTCCCCCCCCTCCATCTTCCTACTTTTGGCTTCTGATCCATCAATCACCCTGGCCACTGGCTGCACTGCCCATCATTCCCGCCTGGCTCCTCTTCCGCGCTGGCCAGTTTCCTTAAATAACTGGTACAGTCAAAACTACCATTTGCACCAGCTCCTTTTGTACTGGTTGTTTTGTGAAAGGAGGGCTTGGCAGGTACATGAAAGGAGGTCCTGATCAGTAGTTTGATGTGACACAGCTCATGGTTCTTACCTGGTGGACTATACTACCTTCAGGGATCCCAAATCCCTGGGCCACTCATACAAATGGAGTTGGGTGTGCTTGCATGCACACGCCTACCACTTTCACAGAACCAACCCCTCCCGTCCCCTCCCCATGTTGTGCCACCAAGCCAGAAAGATTGAGGATCGCTGGTCTATTAAACATTTCCACAGCATCTCCCCTTGCATGGCCAGGATAGTGGAAGTAGGGAGGCAAAGAGAACAAAGGCGCACTGCGGTTGTAAATGTGACAGGACTGAATTTTGTTCATATGACCTTGGGCCAGAAGCTAGAGGACTGCATATAAGGCCCTTTGTTCAGCACCATCATAACTGAATATATGCTGAATGAAAGCTGGTTAAGCAAGGACTATATAGCAATAGCAGTTAGACTTATATACCGCTTCATAGGGCTTTCAGCNTATATATATACACACTGATATATATACTGGTTTTAATGGGGTGGCCTTTTTGGTTTAGGTTTCTCAATGATTAAATATGGTTTCCCCCCTGTTTTGTTAGAAAACCATGAGCTGATGCTGAGCACCAATAATGATAAATTGACAGAAGCTCTAGAAGATGCTGATAAACTCTTCTCTGGAGGTAGGTTGAGAATAATCGCAAAATTTTTTTTTCAGTGCTTGATTTTCCATAAATTTCTAGAAGCTTCAAATAAAATAAAAAAGGAAAGAATATGTGTCACATTGCCACTTTAATACATTCAACTTATTCTAGTGAGGAAAATATCAATCATTTTGTTTATTAATAGTAGCTACCTGTAGTCTTCAGAAAACATGAAGAAGTTTAATTTTCTATGGGCCTGAAGTAACTAGAAGAGGCCAGCAGAGAGGAAAATTACTTTATTTTCCTAAAATTATTTCCCTGTAATGAAAAGCAATTAAAAATTCAATCTAATATCTTTCCTCTCTAGTGGTTTCTTTCTTAATGATATGTTACTTTCTTTTTGATTGATAGTATCAGTTTCATTTTTATTTCATATTTGGTGGGCAGTAAATATTACATCAAGTGATATGAATGTAAATGATAAAGTATGAAACTCAGAAGGAAGAATAGTTTTTTATTGTTTTAAGTATTAATAGAAACCCATAGCATGCTTTTTACAAGATAACAATGTAATAATGAACATAGTAATCACACATAGAATAAGCAAGCAATATGCTAAGTGATATAAATGAATAAAAATGTTACAAGGTAGTATCAATAAAGACATAATCTTTGCTGCCTTTTCAGTTTTCAAATGGCTACCTAGTTCTGATTGATAGTGGCTTTGTTTTGGTTCCTTTTTCAATGACATAGTAGTGCACTTTAGAGACAATCCTTGATTGATAAAACCTTGAATCTGAAGCTTCAAGGAAGAGCAATTGATTTCATTTGGAGAAAAATGAAACCTCTAGTACACCTGCATGTTGATGTTTTTAGCCAATTAGCAATTGTGTTGGTGATAATAATATAAGCATGATTGTGAAATGTAATTGTCATTCTTGACACTACTATTCATTGATTTACCTTGTTATCTTGAAAGATTTAAAACTTAATTTCTGAAGTTTTTTAAACTAATTTTTTTAAAAAAAATTAGAGCTTGGTGTTTTGGAATCTGAGGCCTGATTCTAAACTTATCCAAGATTTTTTAAACAAATTTTGTAAAGCGTCAATGCCGCATTGTCATTGCCACAGTATTCAATGTTTTTATATTGTTCAGCTGTTAATATTATTAAAATATGCAACTAGTTGATCCATACTAAATCAGTGTTTTTTATATATTATTATCTGTATATAGGTAGTCCTCAATTTATAACCATTCATTCAGTGATCATTCTAAGATAGAAAAATATGACATGACTATTTTTTATACTTACAACTGTTGTACAACTTACAACCTGCATTGTCATGTGATCAAAATTTGGATATTTGGCAACTGGCATGTATTTATGATAGTTGCAGTATCCCGGGGTCACGTGATCACCTTTTGTCATAGATTTGGGGACCAAAGTCAATGGTTAATCTTGAGAAGCAAAGATTCACTTAACAACTGTGTTATTGACAAACTACAGTGATTCATTTAATACCTGGCAAGAAAGGTCATAAAATGGATTAAAACTTAACAACTGCCTTGCTTAGCAATAAAAATTTTGAGCTCAATTGTCATACATCGAGGACTACTATACTGCCAATTATAGATATATCCTATCATACAGCAAATAATTGGACGCATATCTTGCTTAGAATTCTCTCAAAAATGCATTTCTTCTTCTTCTTGCCCATTGGATTGTTAACTTGCTCTTATTTAGTTAATTTGCGATTCTCGGAAATAACAAGCATTCATCAAAAACTGAATATTAATGAACGTTCTTGTCTTCCATTCCCTTTGAATCTAGCAAACAATTTTTCTTCTCTCGAAACAGTGTCCTGGGCAAGGGAGGCTGCTTTGGATGCCCAGTTCCTAGTTTTGGCATCAAATATCGGAAAAGAAAAAGCAAATCAATTACACTCAGATATGACAATATTTGATCCATCTGCATTTGCTGGAGATTTAGTAAGTTGCATGAGCTCTATAGTAATATAAGGCTTTTCTGTTTTATAGAATATAGTAATATAAGGCTTTTATATAGCAATATAATTATAGTAATAGAAGGCTTTTCTGTTTTATTAAATAGAATTTGATTGTATATATATATTTTCTGAGGTTTTCGCGGGTGTTAGTATGTAGGTCTTTGGTTATTTGGGTTTTCCTCCGCGTAAAATTGGAGGTGTCTTGGCGACGTTTCGACGAAGTCTCATTCGTCATCTTCAGGCTTCGTGCTTCCAGGAGCAAGCACGAAGCCTGAAGATGACGAATGAGACTTCGTCGAAACGTCGCCAAGACACCTCCAATTTTACGCGGGAGAAAACCCGAATAACCAAAGACCTACACACACACACACACACACACATATATTAGTGTCACAACCCCTGGTAAGCCCCAATTATGGGAGGAAGCTAACTGCTTCCAACATCTGTCAATCGAATAAAGTCTCCCTTTATTTATTTATCAGCACAAATAAAAACACAAATATATATATATATATATAAAATTCCCATCAACGTAACTCATCATGTATTCGTTGTTTAAACTTTGAAATAATATTTTTTAGCGAAGCTAATAGCAATATTTAAAGTATACTTAAATATTTCACTCATATAAGCTGAAATATCAGTTTTAGAATCTGAAAGCATAAAAAAGTATGCAGTGCACTTGAAGTTCTTCAGTTCGTGGGAACCAGATTGTTATCTTGCTGTTGCATTAATCCTATATTTTAATAGAGATGTTAGAACCCCATTGCTTATTTTAAATGCAGGCTGTAACTCTTGGGCTATCATGCTTTATAACCTCTTCTCTGGTTTTATCACACTAACTTCAAATTAGTGAATTATTGCAGTATTGAAAATCAAACTATTCAGTATCAAAAATGTAGTGATCCAAACATTTTTTTTTATCCTGTAGAATTATTTTGCTGTACTGGATAGTTAGAATTGTAAACCATGTTGTTGCAGTTCATTTTTGCTCCATCACCAGTCATGAATCAAAGAAAATTAAAAATTACTGCTGAAGTTTCTTTAGATTTTCATTTTTTTTAACCTGGCATCACAGACCAGACTTGCTGATAGTTTGGGTTTGGGGGGGTGGGAAAAATATTTGTCTGCTTGTTTTGTCTGTAAGGCAGTTCAAATAGTTCTTTGTACCACTTCAAAGAGAATTGGCTGCCTCCACAATTTCAGTTATGTAAATAGTTCTGCATTTTTGGAGATGGTGGTGAGGGGGTGGGGGAATGGTATGTGCAAGGAGATAACATACACCACATATTTTAAACGGAATTCCCTGTTTAAAAAAAACACAAGATAAATTGATTAAGATGTTGTAGTTTCAGATCAAAGTTGCAATGCACTGTAGTTAGTATCATTCTGTATAGCAGTGTTTCTCAACCTTGGCAACTAGAAGATGTCCGGACTTCAACTCCCAGAATTCCCCAGCCAGCGAATGCTGGCTGGGGAATTCTGGGAGTTGAAGTCCGGACATCTTCAAGTTGCCAAGGTTGAGAAACACTGCTGTATAGGTTTAAATATAAAGGTAACTTCATAAGCATATTATTACCTTCAAAATATTGTGCACCTTAACATATTTCTTCTTGAATTAGATTCTAATTTTGCATTGTCATTATTTTGTATAAAAATGCAAATTGATACCGTGATATATTTCTTCTACAGTTATCACTTATGGGTCTAAATCGTTTGGAAGTAGAAGAAAGTGATAGTGAAGAAGAACAGGTTGCTGGTGGATTCTTACCTAATAATGCTTGGCATAAACTTGGTGAAGAAGCAAACAAATACTTTAGGAGGGCACCCGTTTTCCATTTCATGTGAGTTGTGGTATCCATCATTCAGTCTGGTATGATAACTTTCACAAGAATAGATTTTTTGTTGCTTGGGACTTGAATAGCCCAATTAAAGAATCTTGCACATTATAATTTGTCTACTATTCTCTTTGAGGTTTGTTCTCAGCACTTTGGAAAGCCTCACATATATTTTTGGGAAGTTTTCTGGAATGCCTGAACACTCGTTGAAACGAGCAAGATCCCTAGGTTTTATGTTTTTATCTGATTGGACTTGTAAGATTTCTGCAGATAAAGAAACCGAAGACCTTTTATTATGTTGTCATTCCTAGCTTCCATGTCACCTACATCAAATCGGTTTGGGGCAAGGAGGTTTCTTGATAGAAAATGCTATTGACCCTAATTTATTCCATAATTGGTATTCTTTCCAAAGGTGTTCTATAAATGTTTCCTTTTGTTGCTCTTAGGCAGGGGTCTCCAAATCTGGGAACTTTTAAGACTTGTGGACTTCCACTCCCAGAATTCCCCAGCCAGAATTCTGGGAGTTGAAGTTCACAAGTCTTAAAGTTCCAAAATTTGGAGACCCCTGCTCTTGGGTAATAACATTTTAATATTTGAAATAAGAACAAGAAATGTGCATAGTTGAGAGTAACCGGACTAAGATTTTGCATTCATATGAATTATCCTGACATGACTCTAACATCAAAACTTGATTAGGTCTGAAGGCATTAAAACTGAAAAAAAATCTAATCTCAGCAGGGTGGGTTTTTTGGGGGGGGTGGGTGGGTGTTCTGTTGCTACATTTTTCTAGTTTCTTGGTCATGTTTGCAAAATTACAGTGTTATGTCTTCAGATTATTTGGAATGTTACATAAAGAATTAACAATGTTTTCATTGGCTTAGGTTAGGCACATTTACTCCTGATCCTCCGGTTGAAAGGCCACGAATTGAAAGGCAACGAAAGAAGGCAACTTCAGATGGAAACAGAGTAATGCCTGCACAAGTGAGTTACATATGAGAAGTAAAAGTCTAATGTTACTTTGGGGATGAGAAACTTCCAGCTGAAATTCATAGCACAGTAACAGAAGAGGACACCTAAATAGATTTTTTTTTTTGTTATAACAAAGCTTGATGATGAATAATGATTTTTTGCAGATGTTTGGTTCTGACATTGTACAGGAGGAGGATGTAATATTTGCCCCAATAATCTTCTAATATACATACATTGAAAATAAATGTCCTTTGAAGGAGCTGATTATTGTAATTTGTAAATGGTGCATAAAACTTTAAAGTCAACTTTAAAAGCTTATTCTTTATATAAAAGCTTATTCTTCATATCAGTTGAATTATTTGAGGTCAGTTCTATTTTTGCACATTCTCCTTATCGGTTAGGTAAGAGAATGTTTGCATACATCACATATCTATTAGGAAACAGAAAGGAAATCCTCATCTTCAGATATTTACTCTTTTTAAAAATCATTTCATTTATCCCACAAATCAAGTTTGCATTGATGAAAGTATTGCTGGTTATGAGGAACCATAATAAAGTATGCTTTAAGGGAAACTGCAACATTTTAAAAAGAAATTAAGAATATTATAATGGAAGGGGAAGACTGCTGTAACATTGTCATAAAATATAGCTATATTGATAATAGCTTGTTAAATTAATTCTTTTTTTAGTTAAAGAAAATGGAAGAGTCTCACCAAGAAGCTACTGAAAAGGAAGTAGAACGGATTTTGGGATTCTTACAAGCCTATTACGCAGAAGAGCGTAAGTTAAGGGAATTCAGCATTTGCATAGATGCCTCTCTTTCCTTTAAGTATTGTTATGGTGGCTAGGATACGAAGAGTATAAGATCGAGGATGCCAGAACAAAAATGTTTGAGCAGAAAAGATCATTTGAAGTTGTAAGAGGTTGTATGCTTCAAACATTTAGCTGTATTTTTTCTGCAATTAGCTTAATTTTCATTGTGATATTTGTACTGGAAATGCTCAGTTACATTAATTTGACTCTCTATATACATATTTCTCAATCCGATGTTATGATAATACTTTTGTGTAGGAAAATCATTTAGATAGCATATGTCTAAGGTTTGTTAAGAAAATTCAGTTTGCATTTCTCATTCTGCTGCAGACCATGATTAGACCTACCTTTAAATAAATAAAAAAGAATAGTGAAAACTATTAAATGTGGGCTTAGAAATTTTTTCCATTCATAGATAAATTACAGTTAGATGATGTCTCTGTAAACCGCTTAGAGAGGCCTGAAAGGCCTATGAAGCGGTATATAAGTCTACTGCTATGTTGAACACAGAAAATAAACTAGAAATAGGCTGAACAGCTAAATGAATGTATCGATATTAAAAGTATGTTGTTTTTACATTATAGCTTCTACCCCAATATCCTTCCTTGAGTTTGTGACAGACCCAAATTCTTTCTCACGAACTGTGGAAAACATGTTTCATGTCTCATTCTTAATAAGGGTAAGGAAAAAGAATTTACTCCCTTAATTATAAAAGCAAAATGTATTGTGCCACAAATATAAACACAAGATTTGGACCCTCCATGTTGGAGGACTGCTGGTTGACTAATTCTTCTTTCATCTCTTATGTAATAGAAATAGTTTGATGTATGTTTATAATTTACTAACCTCACTTTTATAAATCAGATTCCCTTTGACAGTGGTAATAAATTGATTTTGAAAGAAGCTTGATAATTATAAATAATATGTTATGATATTTAGACACTTGAAATATGGATCATGTTTTGTTTTAAATCTCACATCTATTTACTGTTTAAAAGATTAAAACTGGAACTAATTCCTGAATGACTGGATTTGCTTTTTGTACTAAACCATAACTGAATCATAGTCTATTTCATATAACTGGTTATAATAATAAAATTAACCTAATCAAAGTCAAACAAATAATATGTGGCTAAATTTGTTTATCATTCTTATTGCCGTTGAATTCAGCCCACTAAATATATTTCATATTCCATAACCTATTTCTGATAGGTTTGCTTTCTTAGAGGTAAATTGAATTTTTTTTCCTAGGATGGACTTGCAAGAATAAAACTGGATCAAGATAAGCTTCCTATAATAGGTAATGTTGCAATATTTCTAACACTAGGAATTGTTTTAAAATGTCTTCGTCTCTTAATTTGACATATACTTGAATTTATATTGTTTTAGTGAAATTGAATTTTCATTTCTTTAAATATAAACATGTGTCCCAAAAATACAATATTTTGCTAGAGCCTTTACGTCCACAAGGAATAGAAAATTATGAGGATTCTCACGCACGGAAGCAAGCTGTCATATCAATGAGCTATCAAGAATGGATGGTATAGTTAATTATTTTATTTCCGGAAGTTATTTTAAATATTCCTGAACTGAGTTTTTGTACCTAAAATGCTACAACTATGATTAGCAAAACTTTATTATTTAGATCTTAAAAATATGGAAAGGCAATTTCCTGGTTCTGTAATTTTGAAGGGGAAAATATACTATTCTTTTCTTCCTTCAATGTGTGTAAGATAGGCTATTTATCAAAATAGCAATGGATTTCATTTATGTATTTTATACAGTCTTCCATCTTAAAAGAAAATGCAGCACATATCCAGAGTTTACATTGTTTGGTAAAAATAAATGTTAGTCAGAAGCTTTGTTAACTTGCAATAACTTTGCATTTAACAGCATAATATTTTAACTAATGGTGGCTGAAAGTTGGATATGTTTATTAATGCACATTTTATCTATAATACTATAGATTAAAAGACTTTAAATTTTTATTTTCACATAGAAAATTGTGGAGATATTTGAAATTTCACAGCCAATGATTCCACCTCTTGCACAGTCACAGACATGAGATGAAGCTGATCTGAATGTAAGGTACTATTTTTTTCTTTAATTTTTTTGATATCATTTTCGTTGTTGATATTCAAGCACAATAATTGTTAGTTTGTGCTGACTTGAATTTTATCTATCTTTTGCAGATTTCAACCTCATTCTTTTACACAGGTATCCTCCATAGGTCTTTAAGAACCAGCCTAATCTTGGATGGAAATGAGCTAAACTTTCCTGTTTAAGTATTGTATATTTGCTTGAATAAGTGGAATGCATGCAGGTGTTCTAAATAACAATGTTGTATTATACAACATTTTGTACATTATTTATTTGCTGTAACAGCAAATTAGTCTCATTGTAGATTTTATATTCTGAATCGGCTTTGTCTTATTACACATTCATTTGGTCAATATTATGTTGTTTGAATTTATATTTCACTTTTCCATAAAGCAAAAAGTTAGCTAACCACACAAATAAAATATGATACATCTCAGTAAAGAAGACATTTGATCCGTCTTCAGAGGTGGAAAGAGTTCCCAAGGGAGTTTGCTCTGTATTTTTGGAGTGATGCAGAGCATGCCTTCTTTTATGTGCCTGAAAAAGACTGCGTTAAAGATCCCTTTTTAATTAATCTTTAATGTCCAAGGAGATTCATATTGCGAGACATAGATAGTTGTGCCTAAAACATTTAAATGTTAAAGGACTAGAATGGTACCCTCCCAGTTCCTTTATGTTGCAGCAGTATGTGTTAATTATATCTTAGTTTAGGAGAATATGCACTTTTATAGAGCTTATTTATAGTTCCATAGATTTTGAACCTCATTATTTGTGAATGGTGGTGTAGAGAAGAAAAATGGGGAGTGGAAATGCAAGACCAAGAAGGAAGAAAGGCTGAGAAGAGAAGTGCATCAGACGCTCTACATCATAGAATGTACTTACCTTGTTGAAATATTTTGCTTTCCTCCATCATACCATTTGGCTGTAATTCTGCATTTAGCATAAGCATTCAAATGTTTATGGTGAAAAGAAGGATGAAGTAGAATGTCGTTGAGAAATGGCTTACAAGAACAAAGTTACTTGTGGATGTCACTCCCTATTATTGAAACTTTGGCAGAAGCAACCACTTGGAATTAAACACTTCGATACACTTTTACAATGGGTTGTGTGTTTAAGATTAACAACTTCTAATGTCTCTGTAGTCATTTTTGAGTTGCGCAAGCTTGATAACCTTTACAGAATAATGAATACAAATATTAAATACAGATGATAACATAGAAGTTTTGCCTTTGAAAATACTTTTTGGACTAAAGGTAAGTCTAGTAGATGCTTGTAAGCTACCATGCACCTTATAAATTACTCTTTTAAAAGTATTTTCTTGAAACGCTACATGAGATAACAAAGTGTAGTGGTATTATAGCTAATACCAAAAATAGGTGAAGCTGAATTAGTTAACTTATAAAATTCTATGGTATTCTTCCATTCCTAGCACATATTATTCCATCACTAGATTTCTAATATGCATCATACAAATAATACATAATATAAATGCATCAAGGAGATTTATTTTTGAATCCAAATGAGCAGATTTTAGACAGTTGTAGTCTGACTGCATTAATAAATGTCAGTGAACATGCAGTCTTAATAAACTAATTTTAGGGTCCAGTTTTAGTTTGCAAACCTTGCTGGCAAAGTCCTGTGACTTGTTGGTGTGATGGGTGGTATTGCCGATTAGAAGAGCTGATTGGGTAGTTAGATATTTCACAGCGTTGTAGGTGACAGAGTTGATGCTGCTGAAAATCCTTCCATTCCTCGCTCCCCATCCGTTCAGAACTGAAGAAGATTCTTTGATGAGAAGTGAAACATTTTCAAAGAAGAACAAGAGAGTCCAGCTGTCTCTTGAAAAAATACCTTTGATCATATACTACTGTTATTTAATGCAGTGTTTCTCAACCTTGGCAACTTGAAGATGTCCGGACTTCAACTCCCAGAATTCCCCAGCCAGCATTTGCTGGCTGGGGAATTCTGAGAGTTGAAGTCCAGACATCTTCAAGTTGCTAAGGTTGAGAAACACTGCCCTAATGTGTCTTTTGGAGCAAAAAGTAATATAACATCTAATCTCTTCTTTTTGGGGAAATACGGCATCTCCCCCCCGTCCAGAAAGTGGGGTTCCTGGTATTGAGTCAAAACAACCAAAGTCAAGATGTTACTATCTCTAGATATGGCCCCCACAAAACCGCGGGGGGGGGGGGGGGGATTTCCTGATTACGGTTAATTGTGCCCTTTCAACCCAAATTTTTACTTTTTGCCACGGTTTATCTCATCCACTTCACTCACACATCAGTAAGTGGGTTCTGTGATGCAGAACAGCCTGGGGGTTTTCCACCGGAGGGAAAAGTACGACCGGATTAATTCAGTCTGAATTTCTCAGATCACTGAAAGAATGAAAAAAGAAAAAAAAACCCACATCAAATGGAGGAACGGAAGAAGGTGTT